AAACCTACTTATGATGTTGTAGAGTCAGTTTGAGAAAAGTTCCAGATCATAATGTGATGGCAGAGAGAGATTAAGGACACCATATTAGATGTGGCAATTCCCACAATGTGGATATTTCTACAAACTTAATACAAATGCAAGTTTCTCTGGCGAAAGGTGGTTAGAGCCAGGAGTAATCTGAAGAGATTAGTGGGAGCCAGTAGCTTTTGCTAGAATGCAAAGAATCTCTAAACCTTTAGCAATAGAGGTGGTAGAAGCATTGTTGAAGTATATGCTCAGAAAAGTATAATGCTAATTTTAACTCATATTAAATACTTTGTTAGGGTTAGATATGATTCTAGAAGATATTAAATTTCCTTGTCAGTCTTTGGTTTAGTTTCTTTTTTAGTTGTAAACTGTGTAATCAAATAGATAATGCCTAAGGTAGTGAGACACTGTTTTTACTTGATTACTTTATTTGTATTGAGGGATGCCTATCTTTTTGGCCTTCATCTTTTGCAGGATGGATGTCCTTCTAACTAAATTAAAAAAAATGGTCACTTGGTTTTTCGGATCTGAATAAGGCTAAGCCATAGATGATGGGGAATTGAGGTTTTAGAGCTAGCTCCCCACACTAACATCCTTCCAAAAATCTGACCCTATGGCCATTTCCACGTCGGAATGTCTTGAAAGCAGCTTGATAATTTGAAGTTGGGAGGATGAGGAGAGCTTGAAACTAAAACTGGGAAAAAAATATTAAACAATGAACAAAACGTAGAGATATCAGTTGTTAATAATCATCCCAAATTCTTAATATTGTTAACTTATTGACATAAAGGTCTGGCTTATGCCTATGCTAAGGTACCTTTTGATGCAGAACAAGAAGGATCGAGAATGGACATATTTCTATAGTAATATATATTCGTAATGTTTATACACTATTAAGATGACTAGCTTATTTAGGAATTATTATCTATAGGCTTATTTTAGTGTGGGTTTATTATTTCCTATCTAATGAGGATGCTATTTAGTTGTTTTTCTATTATAGGTTAGTTAGTTATAAGCTTATTTTCCTTATTTTTCAGATTTTCTAGTTTTCTAGTTTTTTCATTGAACTTATTTTCCTATTTATCAGGTTTTCTATATTTACTATTTTGATTGTATTTTGGTCATATAAATAAGGTATCTTAACTTAATTATTTTTTTAAATAAAAGAGAAATATTATTATGGACAATAGTATTAAGGAGGTATCGTCTATATACAAAGTAGATTTACATCTCAGTCAAGTGGTCGATGACCATTCTAATATCATTTCAATCTTTCATGTCATGATCTAATAATATGGAACTAAAAGTGTTAACCCATCTATCTCTAATTTTTACAAAATTAATTTCTATGTTCTCAAAAATTTTTCTATTTCTTTCTTGCACACAACTCAAAAAATGGTAA